GGGGGAGGGGATGTAGGGGGGCGGGGGGGATCCTCTTCCGTTGTTCGTCCTCGGTGCTCTGACGTGTATTGCGGGGCTTTGATGCTCTGGCCGTGTAACGGTGGCGTTGTGTTTTTTCCGCTCGCGGGACGCGCGGCTAGTAGCTTGAGCCGGGGAGGGAGGGGGTACGAGGGGGAACGGCCGAATTTCCTGCCACGTCATTTTTTCGAAGCAGACAAACACCCACATGTACTGCTTGCTTTCTCCAGCTTGTTTTTTATCGGCCGGAGGGCGAAAGCGGGTCTTGTTTTTCGATTACCGGACACACTCACCACGCTTCTTTTGCTGCTCTCGCTGACCACTGGTGCACATGCCTGAAACCGCTCGTGACTCGTGGTTCTCGTGCCACGACAGGTGATGTTCTGGAACACCGCCGGGGAGCAGGTGGCGCTCAAGCTTAAGAAGGAATACGTGCGGGCCATCCTGCGGCAGGTGAGCCGGGCGACGACGCTATCTTGTGCTGGGAGTGTGGGGGGCTACTCGTGTAACGCTTGCCGTAGTCGCTAGTCTATTAAGAGACCTCGCATCCCTACGATGCCCGGGATGTGTACCTTGAGGAGAGAGTAAGGGTGTTGTTGTGTACAAGTATAACTTATTTGTTTCCTTTACCGTAGTTTTTGGTTTGGGGGGAAGAGACATGGCGCAGGAGGGAGTGGGCGGATAGGAGGAAGAAGCGCAGGGATTCGAGTGCAGCACACGCGGCTCGTGTTGCTGCAACAAGAGACTTGAAGCCTCGAGTGCGGCTGTTTCATGATGATGCGTGGTCCGCGGGAGGATGGCTTGTCGTGCCCGAGGTTGAAAAGTCATCGCTCGTGCGGACCTTCCCCGTCCGTCCCGAGCAGCAGCGGCTGTGAACCCCTCTACTTGTATTTATTTTTGCCCGCCTTCTAATTTTAGATGCACATCATTCATACCCTCGACCCCGACGTGCCGCGTTGGTTGCCACGTTCCCACCGCCGCCTAGGACATCGGTTGGTTTGACGAGCACCCTGCGGGAGAGTTGCCTAGCGCCGTCACGTCCGCGATGGCCAAGATTCAAGACGGAGTCGGCCGCAAGGTACTTGCCTTTTATGCCGATTGTTTGTGTGGAACAACAACACATCACCGGTTTCAGGACAGATATCACCGGTTTAAGAGCAAGAATGGCAGATGATAGAACAAACGTGACCGGTCTAAGAGCAAACGTGACCGGTTTAAGAACAAACGCGACCGGTTTAAGAGCAAACGTGACTTTTTTAAGAGCAAACATCACCGGTTTGAGAACAAACGTGACCGGTCCCGTCCTGTGAGACAACCATTTGCGCCAAGTGTCGTTGCCGAAGAGCTCGATGCACAAAAAACATGCCGTGATCATCCTCCATGGAAGCGTGTGGCGTTGCCTAGACAGTCACTATCTACTATTTTTTTCTCATTTCCCTGCCTAAGCTGAGCGCCGTAGAAGGCACGACAACAGTTAGATGGTAGCCCGGCGACCTTCGGAAAGCGCGAACCTCTCCAACAGCATGACGTCCGCAAATGTGGCAGGCACGTCGGCCCCGTCTCTTACAGATTTTGTGTTCTTGAAATCATCTGTATTGTTGTGACTCGCTTGGTAGTGCCACCCCATGTATTGTAGGTCTCTTGTGTCTCGGGGGGTGATGGATGGGTGCTGTTCGTCATGTTGAGATGACAACCAAGGCAGCAAGAAACGAGTACCCCCCCGTTCCCCCCCGCGCCCCCTCCTCCCCAAATGAAACATTGTCGTGGATGATGTGCTTGCGTCTCAGATCGCGGACATCATCATGAACTTCACGGTGTTTCTCGCCACCTTCATCATCGCCTTCACGGAGCTGCCCAAGTTGGCCGCTGTTCTGCTCGCTTGTGAGTTTTTTGTGTTGTTTTTTACGGTCACGTTTCTGAGTATATTTTTTCTGGGTCGTCTTGATTATCGTGTTCCACGCCCTGTTTTGGTAGATAAAACCAAGTCTTGTCTTTCCGCGCATTGAAACAACTTTGAATTAAAGAAACAACAAGAATGATTTGTAGAAAAGTTGTTGCATCTTGTCGTTCCGCACATTGAAACAACATTGTTTCACAAAACCAATAAAAATGATTCGTAGAGATGTTTGTGCTGCCTTCACGTGGAGTACAACATTGGTTCGCATCTCTGCTCAGTACCTTGCAACATCCGTCCCGGTCCAACTGACGCCTTCGGTGGTCACAGCCGCCCCCCCCCCCCCCGTTTTTTCCCCCAACTAAACAAAAACCGCCCCCCCCCCCCCCCACTAACTAAAACATTCTAAAAAATAATAACACACCCTTTTTCCCCCCCCCCCCTTTCAAAAAACCCCCCCCCCCCCAAAAAAAACCCCCCCCCCCCTTTTTTCCATCCCATTTTTTTTTTTTTTCCCTTTTCAACCACCTTTTAAAAAAAACCCCCCCCCCCCTTTTTTCCATCCCAATTTTTTTTTTTTCCCTTTTCAACAACCTTTTAAAAAAAACCAATTTTACTTTTTTAAATCCCCCACCAATTTACCCTTTTTTTTTTTTTACCCCTTTTTTTTTTTTTT